GGGGGTGGGGCGGGGGGGTGAGGCTGACAGGAGCGAGCTCAGGCCAGGACTCAGACGCAGGGCATGAAGCAGGAGGCCTAAGAAGGGGCGGGGGAGAGCTCCTTGGTAGGACGAAATGATAGCTGTAGGAAATGAGGTCTAATTACCAAGAGCATGAAATCAGATCTCCGAATTGAGACGCAAGTCACGGTTCTCTGTGCCCTGCTGCTCTCAAAAACCACCGCTGTTCGCCAAGAAAGACAAGGATGACAAAGAGCCACTGCGAGGTTTTCAGTTGTGCCATCTTGTGGGGACGCCCCGCTCAGTAGCCCCTCGTTGTCTGCGTCCCCAAGACTCCGGGCCTGCCAGGCTGGGAAGTGCCGGCCGTGAGGGAGGAGGGCAGAGCCCACGTTGTTCATGGGACACAATGAACTCTAATGGTTAATGCAATAACAGTAAACACCAGGGATGCTTCTAATTTACACGAATCCTAAAGAATACAAACCACATTTAATTTCCAAGCACCTTCGCGATGTATGGACCCAGTGCTTTTCACACACACACCTGTTGAAGCGCAGGACAAAGGCAGGGAGGGGGGTCACGTGGGGTCCTGAGATGGCCTGGCCAGGGTCTCAGAGGCGCGAGCTTCTAGAACGTGGGGGAGGCTCGGGCCCAGGTCGCAAGGCTCTTCTGCTCCCAAAGCCGTTGTTATGCTGGCCCTGGAGCCGGGCCGACCCAGGATTCAGTGCAGCTTGTAGACAAGGAGGGGTTTCGTCTCCCGACACAATAAACCAGGCGAGATGGCGTTCATCTCCATGGCCTTCTGTTTTCCGGAGAAACGTGCACACAAGGGCCTTTTCAGATTGGAGTCGTATCCGATTATCCAAGAAGTTATCCTTTCCTTGGAAGCTGTGTTCATCTGCGCTTACTTATGCCCTGGCCACTTAACTCAGTGACATCTCATCATTTATAAGCTGAACGGGTCCTGAACGCCTTTTCTAAAATAGGACAAAACAGTTTAATGACCTTTAAAAAAAATAAAAGTGTGTATGTCAGAACCCATTTGTTATGATGTTTTAAAAAATTGCTCCTTTCTTCCTGGGGGTGGGACTCGTGGTGGGCACACACGTGCACACGTGCACACACACCTGCACACACATGCACAGACATATGCCCTGAGCGCAGCTCGGGTCGTCTGGTGGCCCCGTAGAGACAGAACCTGGGCTGAGGGTTTGAGTGGCGGCAGATGCCCTGGACATCCAGGCTGGCCTGGTAGCCAACAGTGTGTCTCTGGTCCTTTCCAACTGCTTGGTGAGGCCTCGGCCTTGAAGCAGGCGTCTTACCCCCATCACCTGTCCCTCCCCACCGGCCCTGGCAGCCAGGTGGCAGCCGTCGGGTTCTCTACGGAGATTGACCTCCTGGTCAGCCCACACTGGGGGGTTGGGAGGGGAGAGACATGGCTGAGGGCATAGGCGTTGGCCTTAGCAGCTGCTGCTGCACTTTGAACTGGGTCCCTTTTCCTGGGGTCGCAGGTGATGGTGGGTGGAAATGGCTCTCGTAAGAGTAGGGACATGAGCTGCCGAAGTCCTACCAGGATGGCCGAGAAGTGAGCCATCACAGACTCTGGGGTCGACACGACCGGGAAGGAGACGTACGAGGGCTTGACAAGCCAAGCCATCCAGGGTCATCAGAGTGACACGGGGCCATAGGGAGATAATCAAGACAGACGCTTCAGGCGCTCCCCGAGGTTTCTGTGTGTTTTGTCAGCGCCACCTATCTTCAAGTGAGGGAACTGCAGCTCAGGGCAGGTACCGTGCCCCAGGCTAGATGGCGGTAGAGCTAGTAGTGAGAGAGGTTAGATTTTTAGAACCACCTGAGAAGTGGCAGGGGAAACCTTGAAGATTCACATGTTCAGCATCAGCAGAGAAGGTCCTTGAGGACTTGAAAATGCACCACAGGTGACAGGCTCGGCCCCCAGATGCCCAGCTGGGGTGGGGGCAGCCCTTCGTGCTGTGTGTTCCCTGACTCCTCTTTGTGGCTTTCTCTGCATTATGGGGGCTATGTGGTCCCCCTTCTTGTTCTCACTTGGTCCCCACAGCACTGGTAGGAGGCGGTCAGAGCAGACAGTGGATCCCATCTCGCAGACCAGGATGCTGCGCTCCTGTGAGGTCAGGCGTGCACTGGCCGCCCAGCGGGGCCCTGTGAGTCCCCCCTTGCGCTGGGGACTTTAAATTAAATGGCACATGTGGTTTAGTGCGGAGAGCAGAGAGCGTGGGCCTTGCCGAGGCATGGAGGCACTCGTGGTGAGGGGCACAGAGGCTGGGACTGAGGGAGCTCCCCAGGAAATGGGACCCCAGGGGGAGACAGCCACGGAGGGGCCAGGTGGTCCCAGGCTCCCTCAAGGGGTTTCAGAGTCAGGCTGCTCATCAGAGGGGGAGGGGCAGGTCAGAGGCCAGTCCCACTCCCGGGCAATGAAGCAGGGACATCCGTGGGCACCCCTGGCGATGCCACGCCAGTCCCTGTCCTCGTCACCCGCACACACAGGACTCACGAGAACCTCCTGCGCTGCACCCACCAGGGAAGCCGCGGCCTCCGGCGGGGGCCCGGCCGAGCTCCGGTGTAACGTCCCCGTTCTCCCCGCTCTTCCAGGTCATTGAGTGCATCACCCAAGGCCGCGTGTTGGAGCGGCCCCGAGTCTGCCCCAAAGAGGTGTATGACGTCATGCTTGGCTGCTGGCAGCGGGAGCCGCAGCAGCGGCTCAACATCAAGGAGATCTACAAAATCCTCCACGCGTTGGGGAAGGCCACCCCCATCTACCTGGACATCCTCGGCTAGGCCCGCGGCGGCTGTGGTCACGGAGTCTTGCCTGTTGCCTCCTCTCTCCAGCCTCACACGCCCCCCCGCCACCTCACAGCCCCTTCCCCGCCCTTGACTGAAGCGAACATCTTCATATAAACTCAAGTGCCTGCTACACATACGACACTGAAAAACGGAAAGAAGAAACCCTGTAAGGCAGTTGGCGTCTATATATATATATAGATATATAATATATATATTTATATACCTACTATCTATCTATATCTACAGAGAGATCCCTTCTCTAATCCCCAGAGAAGCTGCTAACACAGAAACCACAGGACTACAACGACAACTCAGAAAATCGTCAACATGACGAACACAGACAGAAGTTCCCTTTGACTTAAGCTGTGGCCCGTGCCTCCTCGGCTCTGGCTTTTTGGGGCGGAAGACCTGGACGATGCACAGAGACGGGGGCTGGGAGGAGCTGGGTGGACCCCGGTCCTCCGCACAGGGGGGCTGCACTCCAGCCCTGCTCAGCAAGGACCGCGCTGGACCTGGGCCTCTGTCTCCCCTGGCCACGCCCCCAAGCCTTCCCTCTTCCGGGGACCTTCGTCTCCTCCAAGACCCTTTTTCTACTGGAAAGTGTCGTCCGGATGCCTCCGGGAGCCGGCGATGGTGCCCACACACTGAGCAAAGAGCAACAAGGACACGCAGGCGGCCACAGCGTCTCCCGTGTAACCCACGCCCTAGGGAACTGTCGTCTGTCCTCGGAGCATCAAGAACTGGCGGGCTTTCTGGACTGACAGGCCCACCGAGGAGCGAGCTGTGACCCCGGCCCACCTTGAGGCACTGCCCTGCCTTTCATCACCCGAGGGACTCCCGGGCCCCGCCTCCCACACTCAGGCCTTCGGGGCGTTGGGGTCAGGGCAGGGACGTGCCCATGTTGTCTCCACACATGGATACAGAGGGTCTCAGCAGCGGGAGACTTCATCCTTGTCCGTCCTGATGAGATGTGCCCCTCTGGGTCCTCTGCTTCCCCCGGATCCTGGCCCCACCTCCTGGGCGTCTCCCGAGTCGGCGGTGAACCCGCGGCACAGGCCCTGGCATGCTCCTCGCGTGTTGGGCCCTGGGCGGATTGATGCGTCTGCCTGCCTGGGAGCTGCCGTGGATGCCCAGGGGCTGAGAAATCGCCGTGGGGGTGGGTGGGGGCGGGGCTTCTCTGGGAGAGGCCAGTGCGTGGCCAGTGCTGCAGGCCCCGCGTCCTCATCGAGCCCTGCTCAGGGACAGAATGAGACACCTGGGCCGGCGCCCGCTCCCCTGCCTGCCCTCCCGGCTGCTGCTGTCCAGGACTGAGGGCCACAGAGCTGGGACCACAGCCCCACGGAGCCTCCTGCTGGGGAGGCCAGGGTGCACCCCTCCGGACCACCTCACCCCAAGCACAGATCCACCTCACGGACTGGTCACTGCCCATTGGGGCCTCCGGGGGCCTCTGGTCTGCCCCCTGCCCTGTCCGCCGGAGGGACCGTCCTCATCGGGGCGCCTGGTCACCTGCAGCGTGGGCCTCCCGGTGTGGAGCTCGGGACTGACTTCTGTGTTTGTGATTTCCCTTCTTTTTTTAGACCAACACGTGTTTGTATTCTAACAGAAGAGCTGTGCTCAGACTGTCGGCTGTGGGGATGGGGAGGGGCTGCTCAGCTGGGCTGGGGGGGTGCTGGAGCTTGTCGGGGGTTTTCTCGGTGCCCGGTGCCCAGCCCTGAGGGCTTCTGAGGGGAGCGCTTTGGATTGACTCCCCTGCTGTCCTGTGGCAGTGACCCCCTCCACGGGAGGCCCTCGGGCGCTGTGGGCTGGTGGGGCTGCACGCAGGGTGCAGTCGGGGTTAGGGCTGGTGGCTCAGGGCGTCGTCTGCCTGGACCGGGTCACTGGGGCCCGAGGGAAAGTGTCAGCTGCCTGTCGTGAGAGCAGAAGAGAAAGGGTGGCGGACGGGGGGCGGGGGCACCTCACGCTTATTGCTCTTGCTGGGCTGTGTAGAGTCTGCTTTACATGGTGGCCTGTGAGCCTTGGCAACTGAAACCATCCAGGGGTTTGGATCGGGAAGGAGGTGGGGAGAGCGCTGGGAATGGAGGGGGCTGGGGGGCTCTGGAGGGGGAGGGGCATGCGTACTCCTCCTGTAGCGAGACAGGGCGTGGACTCATCGTGCCGTGACTCAGTTTCCCCACCTGCAAGAGGAGGGGTGTGCTTGCTGATCTCTGGCCCCATATACCTCTTAAACCATTGGATTCTAAGCGCTGTCACTGTGGCATTTTTCTCAGTCCCTCTTGGAGTTCCAGGATGGCTCTCCCAGGCCTTGATGGGGGCGGGGCGGAGGGGGCAACTGCCTCTGAGGGTTCATCGGCCTGGGCAGGGCTGGGCTCCAAGGGGACGCCCTCTCTCCCTCCCACCTTCATCACTGCAAGCGATCCCGAGGCCCAGGTGCCCGGGGCTACTTCAGGCCCAGGGTGCGTCTCTGGCCTCCTCGCCCCTCCCAGCCTCTCTACGCGCCCTGATGCAGTTTCCCCTATTTATTCACTTATTTATTTTTAAAGCGCCTACTGTGGTTGAATGAGTCTTGAAACAACCCCCCTTCGGCCCACGGGGCCACAGCAGGCCACTGCATCCCGACATCTGCAGCCCGACAGGCCGTGCCCGCGGGGCTGTGAGGCTGTAGCCTCCTGTGAGCTGCCTCCCACCGGCCAGGCCCCCTCCTGGACCGGGCATGAGCGGCCTGCAGCTGGGTGCCCACCCGGGAGGAGGGTGCCACAGCCCAGGGTCACTCCAGGTCCTTACTTTGGACTTGACCCCCGTGCTGCCCTCTGATCGAAGCCCTGACCTGGGAGTGGGATTTGGAGGCTCGCTGAGCCCCCTTTAGCGACGAGACAAGGACTTGCCTCTCCCTCCGCTCAGCAGAGATCATGCACAAATCACCCCGGACGAGGCTCCCCGAGCCTTGCAAGACCCCTGGTCCTCCCGGCTCAGGCTGAGCGAGCAGTCCCCTTCTCCTCGCGATGCTCATTCGCAGACGACACCCGTGCAAATCTTTTTGGTGCTAAATCCTACAGAAACCACCACCAACAGGAGAGCTGACAGAGCTTAGGGGGCTGCAGGAGGCTCAGCTCAGAAGCACAAGGGAGCCGGTCCCGCGCAAGAGCGCAGGACACGTGCGGGGAGAGTTAGGTGCGGTGTGGAGGGGTGGAAAGACCGCCAGAATCCCGGCCCCCCTTCGAGTGACCCGGTGACCCTGGCCCAGTCAGCTAAGCTTTCCAGTGATCAGATTTCTCACCTGAGACATTCTTAGGGTCCCTTTCAGTCTAAAAACAATTCTGCGTCTGGTCCCACCTTTTTTTTTAAGTTGTTAGAAATAAGGGAGGACTACAGCTTGTTAGAAATAAGAGAAAGTGAAAGATGGGTAAGGACAAGGAGGAGGAAGAAAGGTTACCAACAGCAGGAAATGGATTGTAGAAGGCAAGTGAGGAGGAGGAAGGCTCGGTGACTTAGTCTTGAGGGATGTTGGTGGGGGGAGCCAGGCAGATAAGCCAGGGACTCCATTCTACTGCTCTTTATTTTTTAAATATATTTTTATTGATGTCAGAGAGGAAGGGAGAGGGAGAGAGAGAGAGAAACATCAATGATGAGAGAGAATCATGGATCGGCTGCCTCCTGCACGCCCCCTACTGGGGATCGAGCCCGCCACCCAAACACGTGCCCTTGACCAGAAATCAGACCGTGACCTCCTGATTCATAGGTTGACGCTCAACCACCGAGCCACGCCAGCCAGGCTCTGGTGCCCATCTGAACTCAAGTGGCTGTTACCTTTCCCCGCTATTGTCAGGAGCGGCGTGTGACGTTGCAGGCTATCCCCATAGCTCTTCTTCATCCGGGAATGACGAATGGCTTCTTGGCCCTGCTTTTCTAAACCGGACAGCAGCGGTATCGTCCTGATTTGAGCTGTCGTTGTTGCCAGGACATTCCTGAGGTCTGGGGTCCCCCCGGTGCGTCGCTCACAGTCTGGAACAAAGGAGCAGCTCAGAGCTGCTTGCTGAATGAGCCCATGTGCCCACAGCAGCTGGAGGGCTGCCTCCAAGTGTCCCCAGGAGTCTTCTGTCAGCCTGGGCAGAGGACCAGCCTGCTGGCTCTCGCCTTAGCGCAAACTGGCACCTTTACCCAGACCTTGGTGCTGTGGCCTCTATGTTTTTTGGTCCCTAGATCATCATCAAATTTTTTTTTAATACTGAATACTTTGTTTTTTTTGGCCAACACATAATAGGTTTTAAGAAAAATTCCAAGCTTTTGTATCATTATTCTGATCTCTCATGAGCTGCAGGAGATGTTTCAGGATTGCTTTGGAGCGCTCACTAGCGAAGGTGTGGGCCGCCATGCCTTTACGCTGTATCTGTATATTCAATCGGAATGGCGGGCATCCGTGAAGGTCTGCGTGCAGCCAGCAGATCGATCCCACAGTGCTTGGTCGGCGTGGGCCTTGTGCTTCCCGGGGAGGAGGCAGCCAGAGAGGCCCTGGCCTCGGGGGCACGCAGAAAGGCATGATGGGAAGTGTGTCCTCTTGTGCAGCTGGGTCATGCATTGCTCCCCGAGTCAGATTATGCTGACAACAGCGCTCTGAGCATCCCGAAGCCACTCTTGCTGGTTGTCTGGGTCACGCAGGAGCCGATCCTGCCACATCCTGTCCCATTGGGGGGTTGACATGTCAGTCACCGGCACTGCAGGGGGAACCGGGCCCTGGCAGGGACGGGCAGAGAGGCTGTGAGAGGTGTGCCATCGCCCGCTGTTTCTGAAAGGCATTGCCGACTACGCTGATGTGTGTCTGTGCGTCACTGGATGGGTGTTAGGACTTTGGCTGTGAGCGTCACTGGGTTGGGTGTTAGGACTTTGGCTGTGAGCGTCAGCTGTTCCACACGCAGGCCTCCATCTTGGCTTCTGGCGACCTGTTTCCCTGGTGCATTCTCTGGAGGATCGCCCCCTCGAGTGCCTACACAAGAGCCATACTTTGCACCAGGAGCTGTCTCCACCCCGGTCTCAGTTGTGCGAGCATAGACACCTTTCTGTTTCACGGGGAGCTCCCTGAAGCTGGGGGGCCGGGGGCTCCTCACAGTACTTGGAATTCCCGGTCAAAGTAAGAAAACGAGATTCTCTTCCTCTTTAAGATCCGAGCTTACAACACGGCGTGCTGTGCAATTTGCCATCGCAAAGGGGTCTTCCCCCGTGGGCTGGGCTGACTCCCATCGTTCAGAGGCAGGACAGCAAGCTCCGCTGATTCTCCCTCATCACCATGGTGAACGTGGCTCTGTGCGCCGCGCCCGGCCCCAGCGCGTAGCTCGCGAGAGATACTCAGGGCCGACAAAGCCAGACGTTCTGAACAGAAGATGTGTCAAGATAACGGAAGTGACAAAAGGCCGGTTGGACGTCTGAGGGGCGCTTGGCACTCGGGTCTTGCTGTTCAGCTTAACATCTTATGGGAGCGATTGGTTTCCTCTCACTTTGGACAGTGACAGATTTAGGCGTCGCCCTTGGAAGTCTGAGGGTAGATTGGGAGCCTGGCTGTCCACTGTGTTCACTGACGTTCTTCCCGATGCAACATCCCCGAGGCCCAATGAGAAATGGGAGCGCCGGTGTCTAAGTCTGGAAGTCACTCTTTCTTTTCTTTTAAAGATACATTTTTATTGATTTCAGAGAAGAAGGGAGAGAGAGAGAGAAAAACATCAATGATGAGAGAGAATCATGGATCGGCTGCCTCCTGCACGCCCCCTACTGGGGATCGAGCCCACAACCCGGGCATGTGCCCTTGATCGGGACTCAAACCGTGACCTTCTGGTTCATAGGTCGACGCATAGCCACTGAGCCACACTGGCAGGGGCTATTCTTTCATTTAGGGAGAGCACATGGGAGCCATAAAAACAACAGCAGCACAACAAATAAGCTAACTACTGGGAGACACTCAAACGCACAGCTTCCTTCAACGTTTTGTTGTTTTTCTTGGCGAAGTGTCATGTCCCGTCTCCACTTAACAGCTACCTGACCTTCATCCCGGGGGTGGAGAAACAAACCTGGTCCAGATGATTGGACTTTTGCTTTCTGCCGCCGAAAAGTAAACCCCAGGAAAGAAGATTGTCTTCCATTTTTCTTCTTTTTCTTTTCTTTTTTTTTTTTTTTTTTTTTTTTTTGCTTTTGGCTCCTATCCTCCTGCTTCCATGGGACTGACAACCTGCCCCTCCGACTCTGCGAGAGTCTTAACAGGAGGTGAAGCCCGGGACCACAAACCGCGTGGGCCTCACACAGGGAGGAAATTGGCGCCGAGTGATCCGGCGCACGGAGCAGAGAACTCTCATTTCCTGCGGGCGGGTGGGATTGACGGCTGCATTAGGGCTTCTGAAGGGGCCTGCCCTGCGGTGGCTCGCGGGTGTCAGACAGCGCCGACATCTCCATTAGCCTCCCGCTCCGCTCACTGAGATGCCGCCAGGGCCTGGGCGCCTCCCGCCTGGAACCTGGTGGCCGCCCTGGGCCGCCGCCTCTCCCTCCCCCACCCACAAGCTCTGGGTCCGTGACCTTGGTCAGAGGAGCCCCGGTGGGGATGTGACTGTAGGAGGGGAGCGCCGACCTCTGTCTGAGTGCCATGCTGGGCCAGGCCTTCCGCTCCGGGTGACAGTGGTTGTCGTGGCATTGGCTTCCCCCGCAGGGACCGCACGGGAGGGCACGGAGCCACTCCGCGAGGACACACAGCTTTGCAGCGTATCCGGTGCCGCACGAAGGGACATGGTTGATAAGGAATCCGGGAGCCCTGGGCTCCCAGGCCCTCAGCTTGTCCAGCTTCACGTGCAGCAGGTGACGGCTGCAGCCAGGTGCCCAGGCGGGGTGTCAGGTTCTGATGGGCAGAGGGCTTGCCCTGGGCTGTGCAGGTGTTTCCTTCTAAGCAAGGCAGCCCCAGCTCCTTTAAAAAAAAATTATTGATTTCAGAGAGGAAGGGAGAGAGAGAGATGGAAACATCAGTGATGAGAGAGCATCGTGGACCGGCTGCCTCCTGCACGCCCCCTACTGGGGGATCAAGCCCACAACCCGGGCATGTGCCCTGACAGGTTCATGGGTCAGTGCTCAACCAATGAGCCACACCGGCCAGGCCTGGCCTCTTTGCTGCTGGTGGGGACAGAGGATGCAGCTGTCCCCCAGGCCCCGCTGTCAGCTCTCTCCTCACATGGGTGGTGGCCCCAGCATCCCCAGAGCCCTTTCCGACTCACTGGTGGTGCCAGGTGGAGACACAGCGGCCAGGCCAGGGGAAGCCTCAGAGCTGAGTCATAGCTTCTCTACAAACGAGGGCCGTCTGGGAGTCTGAAGCGAAGCCCCTTCGCTTAGCCGCGGCCGCCTCCTGCCCATAGATCTGCCGCGGTGTCGGGCGTTGGGGGAAACGCGCCGCGGTTTTGGACCGCTTCACCCCGAAGGACGGAGCACAGATTTCTCCACGGCTTTTCCGATTCTGAGTCTCTGTGAAATTTATTTCCCACTTTGCTTCTTGTCTTGGAGACGAGTAACAAGAATCTCTTTGTACAGTCTTAGCTCTTTCTTTCGGAGCAATGGCAGCTCGCAGCCAAAGACACCGCGTTTATTGACTAGGAAAACAGACGTCTGGGCCAAGTAATGTCGCAGCCGCACAGAAGCAAACCTGATCTTTACTTACCAGCAGCGATCAGCGTCGTATTACGTTCTAGATGCTCAAGCTCACACAGTGACACAGTGCAAAGTATGACACGTGGACTTGCGCTCACCAATAAGTGTGGATCAGGCCTGTGCTTTCTTAAATTGATCTGTAGCTCACTGTTTGTTTTTTAATCATCATCACCCAGTCTTCGACGTTGTGCATTTATAAAGTTAGAGCTTCTTCACGGAAGACTGAATCCAGAGTTTCCAGAACCTTCCCATGTAAAGGCTGGATTCATTTTCTTGGAGAAACACAAAACCCAAACTAACCCGGACGCAGATTTTATGGGATTAATTTTCTGTGGCGGAGAGGGGTCGCACTCGGTGAAATTAAACACGAGTTCACTTCAGTTTTCTAAGGGATGGAAAGCACAGAATCTGGGCTTGAGTAATGCATATACAACTACACATGGGAGCTAGTTCAGGCAGATTGCTGGACCTATGTTGGGGCTGAAACAATCCGATATAAAACCCAAACATTCACAGTGAGCTGGAACTTGGAGTGGAAGGGTTAGATTTCCTTGGGGAAGTTGAGGCGCCACGGGACACGGGGGCGCTGGGTTGGAAGTGAGCCGGCTGGCCCGGGTGCGGCTGGGTGGGTGCCTGATGGTAAGTCACCTCGATTACCTGGAAATGTCTGTAGTAGGAAGCGGGCAGCTGCCGGCTGGTAGCAGGCGTGGCCCTTCCCTGGTTCGGGTGATGGGGCAAGCGGTCTGTTTCTCACCGCTGTGCAGATCAGTTACCTTCACAACTTCTCGGGCCTCACCTAGAGCAAGTGTGCCAATGTTCCCGCCCTGGAGATGCAGCCCGTTTTCTTTTCAATTTTTTAAAAGATATGTTTTTCTTGATTTCAGAGAGAAAGGGGGAGGGAGAGAGAGATAGAAACATCAATGATGAGAGAGAATCATGGATCGGCTGCCTCCTGCACGCCCTGCACTGGGGATCGAGCCCACAGCCAGGGCCTGTGCCCTGACCGGGAATCGAACCATGACCTCCTGTTCATAGGTTGACGCTCACTGGGCCACGCCGACTGGGCGAGCTCCGTTTTCCTCTGTGCTCATGCATCCCTTGCAGCTCTCCCTTGTATGTCCCCCTGACTCCGAACGCTTCCTCTGTCTGCTGTCCCCAGCCCCACCCCTGTGAGCCGGATCCTCTCTCTGCAGAGTCCGGAGAGCCACACTGGCCAGTCCTCCTCCTGAGCCTGAGCATCCCCTGGCCGTGGAGCCTGAGTTCCCCGAGAGGAAAGCCTTGCTCTTCCAGCCCCTGTGTCAGTCTCTCTCCAGCCCCTGGGACCAAGGGATTAGCTCCTTATTAGCACCCGGTCGGCTGCTTTCGCAGGGGCGACCCTGGGACAAGGAGCTCATTAGAGTGCCCCAGTCTGTCTTTTTGGAGCCTTTTCTTCCTTCTGACTTGGTTAGAAAAGGGGAGCTGCCATAGACAGCTTTTCCTTTCAATGTCAATGGCTTTCTCCCCAC